CTCCTTCCATCTTGGGAAAGGACGATGTGCCAGGAGCTGAGAATAGTCATGTTGATTTCCAGCCTGATGTTGACATGGTAGCAGATCAGGATGATGTTGAAATTGATTTGGTAGATTTTGCAGAGGCATCCAATGGGAATCAAGATGACGCCATGCTTGTTGATCAGGTGACTCGTTTTGATGAATATGAATTGGAAAGCATCGAGAACAGACACGTGGGTTTCATGCAGAGTGTTTATCAGGTGAAAGGTAGTAAACCACGCCGTGAGAAAGCAGATCTGTGCGGAACACCCATCTATGTAGTTTTCCCTGGATATGTGATTTCTGATGCAACTGGCCAGTATCTTGACAACGAACTTGCTTTCAAAGGTATGTTTACTGAAGTCACCTCGATGACTTCGCAACACGTTGGGAAGCCAATTCCAGAGTCAGAAGCCAAAGTTCTTGCCAAGAAATGGGGAATTCCAATTATCAGTTGTCGTTGGGTGTGTGTTCAGAAGGACGACACAAATGTGCGAATGAGGCTGGTAGCCCGAGAAGTGGCTAAAGGTCAGGCATCCGCCAGAGACTTAATGGTCAGTTCCCCAACCAGTTCCATCGAATCACTTAGAATCATGCTTGCAACCGCCGGAGCAGATGATTTATATGTAATGGGTATAGACGTGAGTGCTGCGTTTATGGCATCACCCCTTGGAATGAAGCTTGGAAAGCCAATAAAAGTTTTACTGAAGTTTCCTCCTTCTTCCATGACCCTGATGGACGGTAGCCCGATCTGCTTGATTGCTGAAAAGGCCATCAATGGCCTGAGAACATCTGGTCTTGCCTGGGTTGAACACCTCTCACATTTGGTCCAAGAACTAGGTTTACACCCAAGCCCTATTGAGCCCACGGTTTTTGCTGGGTATTTAAAGGTAGGAAAAGGCAAAACAAACAAATTGGTTCAAATTATTGCCTATGTTGATGACTTATTAGTCTTTGCCAGTTCCAAGGAAGAAGCGATGATTGTGTTCAATCATCTCGCCAATCATCTTAGAATAAAGCAAACTGGTGAAATCAACAGTTCGGAACATGGAGGTGGGAGCCTTCGATTCCTGGGACGCACCATTGAGAGAAAGCCAAGCAGTCGGACCCTCACAGTGAAGTTGGATGATACGTATTTGGATAGTGTATTTGAATCGTATCAGATTTCTAATGCAGCCAGCAGGCCACCACCAGATCTGAGACCAATCCTCGATAACGAGAGTAAAGCAGATCCAATTTCGCAAGAAGCTGCTTTGAAATACCGAGCTGCACTCGGGAAACTCAGTTGGATGAGCCAAACCATGGTATTTCTGTGCATTTATTGCGCCTTGTTGGCCACAAGTATGGCCGAGCCGACCGATGCACATGAGCATGCTATGCGAGCTGTGTTGAGGTGGCTTCGTAGTTTAAAGAGCATGCAGCAATGTTTTCCATCACCAGAAGCAAAGCCATTCGACACTGATTCTCACAAACTCATCATGTATTGCGATGCTTCTTGGGCACCTCTCCGAATGCTGCGCAGGAGATCCATAAGTGGATGTGTGACTTTCTATCGAGGATCGGTGGTAAAGGGATTCTCTCGAATTCAACAGATCGTAGCTACCAGCAGTTGTGAAGCTGAATTGTCGGCACTTGCTGACTGCATGCAGGAAGCAATTGGACTAAGTAGAATTTCACAGCATTTCTTCTTTGACACCCATTCGCAGATCACATCTCTCCATGAAGGAGTTCAACATGCCGAAGCTATCCATCGACTAATCAATTTTTTGTTTGCGACTGAACATATCACGGAAGAGAGGCCAAAGGTCGAGATTGAGTGCAGATGTGATTCACAAGCAGCTATCAGAGTTTTGTCGGCTTCAGGACTGCAGCGGAGATCTCGCCACGTGGAATTGCGAATTTGTTTTTGCCAGGACCTTGTAAAGAAGCGATATATCGTATTGACTTGGGTTGAAGGCGAAGAACAAATAGCTGATCTCTTTACCAAAACTCTAGGACTGCGACTGTTTATGAAACATCTTGTGGCCATGGGATTCCACGAGGCCCCAGAAATGTCTGAAGTAATGCCTGAGAAGATTTCGTCCAAAGCCCAATCAGCCAAGAAGCCAAAGGGGGAGAACAAAATCCAACAGCAAGCAGTTTCGTCCACCGAGAAAGATGTCGCAAAGGAACGCGACAGAATCCTCATGCCTGCTGTAGTCTTTTCATATTTTTCCAAGGAGTGTGTCCTCATTGAAGCGTGTGAGATTTCAAATGTTTCTTGCCATGATTTTGCGTATTTAGTGCTGGAAATTGGCTGTGAGAGTAGCTCACATCTGACCAAAACAGCATTCAAAGACTTGAAGCGTGGGACCCTCATTGTCTGTTGTACTGAACCTTCACACCTGGAAGAATATTGGAAAGATATTAAGATATGCTTACAGGATTTCAAGAAAGCGATGAAACCATCATACATGCATATTTCGTTGCCTTGCACTGGAGGTAGTAGCCTCCAACGCCTATCAAAGAATGAGGATTTGAAGGCAGAAAGCATGCAGGAATTTCTGAGGTTGATTGGATTTTGTTTTGAACTGATACCGCATGTCCTCCTTTGGTCATTTGAACTTCCCAAGCGAAATCAATACTGGACCAGAACTGAGTTGCAGGAGCTGTTGAAATGTAGTAAACAACCTCTTTATAGCCAGTTTGTCCAATATTGTCAACTTGACGCAGAACCGATCAGCAAGATTCTTCAATTTGTCAGCAACCATCCTTTGATTGTGCAGTCCTTGGCATGCTTTTCAGTTTGCTCTTGCGATGATGGACGTCATAAGCATTTTAATGAGATCAACTGGACAAACACTGAAAGGTATCCCTGGAAATTGTGTGGGTGCCTCATCGCCTCTGTGAAAAGCATTTTCGAGAAAGAGCTTTATGATTTCCGACCGCATGGGCCAGACAACGCCTATCTGATGTGGGACCCGAAACAACCTGAGGATTTTCGATTTTCACGAAAGAGATTGGCTGAATTTCCTATCTCGGCAGCCTGAAACTTAGTGAGCTTCGGGTTTATATGAGGTGACAGGTTTTCAGCAAAGTATTCCAACCTTTGAATTATATAGCCATGGGACATGTTGGATATGAGAAGATTTGAGAAGCAGTGGCGAGCGAAGGCAAAAGATGTCAATTTTTCCTTTAGTCTCATCATTGCAGATCTTTTAAGACTCATGCAATCCCATGTGACTTCCAGCCTTTTGACACTTGCAATCATTTGCACTTCAGTACATCGAATTTTCCCTTGTGTGCAGATCCTCCGCCATGACACGAAAGGGGGTGTGAATATAATGCACCATCTGGGACAGAGGTGCATGTTAACAATCGTGTCAGCGCTTCAGATCCAAAATCTCAGCCGCTTAGGCTTAAATTCATGAAGCATATGCCGTTCGGTGCTCAACACCAATTGAAATGATTTTCTTGATCAAAAACGCCAAAGCACAGTTGATTTTTGGTGCAGAACACACGAAATTTTCTCCTGAGAAAGAGTATTGATTTTTTGGACAGTGATAAGCCAAGTTTTGCACAATTCCTGCCGGAATTGTGAATCCAAAGGTGCAGTGCAAAGAGTGAGGATCTCATTCCATAGAGATTTAGTTTGATAATGTCTGTGCATCTTTGATGCATCCGTCGGTAGACATAAACTTAGTGCAGCAGATGTCACGAGAGCTTGAACTAAATTTCTTGGGAGTGCGTGCTCCACTGCGACAGTCAGAAATATTTTCAGATGGGAAAGCTGCTCACAACTGAGAACAGTTGTGGAAAATGTGAGAGAAACCGATTCCAACACTCTAGACTTTATGCCATTTGCTTGTCTTCAGAAGCCATCGGCAACCACATGTAACTACAAGCATCCGAGCATTGACCTATAGTGCTTAGCGCAGTGCGATTTATTTGGATTGTGCCCGTGCACTCAGTTCAGAGAGTCTCGCAGTTGTGATCTCGGATTTAATTTGCGAAGCCATAATCAGTTGCACATATTTCTCCGTTTTTTTTGGTTTTGTGCAATCTTCACATTTGGTGGAACCAAATGTTTGCTTGAATGTTCTGAACTGCAGAAAGAGCCACTTGAGAAGTGGTGGAAACGTAGTGATAGCAGGAAAGTAGACAAGCCAAGTGTCTGAGCGAATGACCATCTCAGCCAAGAACAGTGAGACATAGTTTCAGAATTTGTCACTTAGATCCACTTTAAATTTGGACTGATTTGCAAATTTCGTTCACTGCTGTTCACTCATTGTTTTGCATGTGACACAGAAGAAGTTGCTTGACACCAACTTTTGCACCATAGAAGGTGCTAATTAGGTCAACGTTTGGGTCGACAAGAATTTCCAAGTGAGTAGGCTGTGAGAGAACAGAACTGAAGGACTTGGATCTAACCCAAACTGATGCAAAGAAAACAGTTTTTCATCCTGCCAAAGGCTGGATGTGCTGTCCATGGAATAATGAATTCCATCCCGGAATCTGGCTCAAGGGCCACACCGCGATTATGGAAAAGATCAGAACAGAGATTTCACTGGGAGTGACATCATAAGAACTCACATTTTCAGATCTTGAAAGGTATCTGGTTGACAACCTACTGTTTATCCCCTGGGGCTGTTAAATTCCGCAGATGATGATGATGATGATGATGATTGATGATGAAATCAATACTACAGTAGAAACATGCAATCTTTGGGAACTTTCAATCTACATCATAATTTGAGGATGACAAATCTAATAAACATGATCTTTCCCCAACAAGTGGATCTTGAATTGTTAGTGAGAATTTACTGGTTTTGACCAGATGCACGTCCATGTTAGTGGTACGTTTTTTGGCCTCCACGTCCACGTGAGCGGAAGGGAGGGTAATTCTTCAAGTCATGAGGGTATCATTTTGGAGCCGTAGAAATTTGTTCATTTTGAAAATACGTGGCATCCACAAAACTATCTCACCATGAGCCTGTTAGGAGAAGCCCGCGGAGGAATTCGAGTCTTGGCACGGCATGCGGGCATGTAGCAGAAGTAGATTCTTTCATGGAAGATTTGGTGTCAGTGGCTTGTTGTATTCTGAGGTCTGTTTAGTACATGAGTTCTGCTTGGTACCCTCTGGGTATGACTAACATAGCCATGGAAGCCATGGCCCATAGAAATAGATGGTTTACCGTTCTTAAACATGGTGGATCTTTCCATGGCGAACTGTTAGACATAACCAGGTTGGGTAGTTTATGTTTTTGTTGTTGACCATATTTGTGATGATGGATCCCCGATGACTCAGACATTTTTTTGGGGTTGGGCTGAACACATTTTTAGTTATGACCTACAGGGAGAACATGATGATGGGTTACATTGGTTACATCTTTTTCAGACACACAAAGCATTAAAAGATCAGGTCCATTATCAAGGTTGGTGCGATTCGATTGATATATATATATATATGCAATCACGTATAAACATATATATATATAGATATATGATACATGTTTATTTGTTTGTCTATTTATTCATTTGCCAATTTTCCTTCCAGATGAATCTGGAGTCTAGGGAGCAAACCTTTCACCTTCGAAGGATCACCGCAGCCCAGGCTTTCGTGGTGGACGGGGACTTTGAAAAGATCAGGCCCTGCTGGGCCTTGTGAAACGTTCCAACCACCTTAGGGAGCCAGACACTGTCGTCAATATGCTGGTGTTTAATGTTTTTTTTTGAGGATTTCGTGATGGTTGAATGGGATTTGATGAGAATTTTATGGTGAGTCAATGGTAATGGGATTTTATTGGGTCTTAATGGGGATATTTCATGAGAACCATCCCATTTTGATGATGTTGTTTTTTGATCAATGTTGCAGCCCAATCTCCTCCAACTTTGTTTTACTATTCATCAACATTGCAACCCAGATTTGGATCATTCCAGGGAAAATCCCCAAGGTGTCCCCAGAAACCTCGAGCTGTCCAAAATGGTCTGGAGGATGAATTTTCCCACGTCGGACATAGTGAAATTTTGATATTTTTGATCCTGCCTTGCAAGTTCCTGGTTGCTGGTTTGAAATCTTGTAATGCGTTATATTACCACTATATCTCAGAACAACTTATAACGACTTCACTGCGAGGTCACTAGAATGATGAGTAATAAGGGAAATCATCCCAAATGGCCTTCAGGCTAGTGCGGCTAGTGATTTTCTTTTTTTTTTTAGATGTTTTATTCACATAAATAAATAAATACATAAATGGATAAGTATATATATATATATAAATAGATAAGTAATGTAATATATAGAGATATATAGATAAGTAAAATTATATATACAGTTATAATAACCATAGAAGAATTTGACATCATTCCGCAGTTTGCTTTTTGGTGGTTTCAGATATTATTGGGAAAAAGTTCGACACATGTTTGGGACGATTGGACGTTCCGTCAGGGTGGAGTACTTCCTGAAAACCACCAAGCCAGGCGAGACATGGCTTGGGGAATTTCCGAATTTCCTCATTTCGATGGTGGGATGGGGGTCATTAGTATACCCATGGTATTATGAAAATATATTAAAATCATTTCACATGAGTTGATGCCCATCAGCCTATGTTTGTTCAAAGCCATTGGGTCGACCCGGTCTGGGGGTGGCTTGGGGTAGCTGCTGTGAGTTCCTCCCTTTACGGTGAAATCGTGGTGCCAAATGACTCGTGCCCCAACTGACTCATATTTGCATGTATTGACAACTGAAGTTAAGATACAATGTTCATGTATATACATGAAACATATCTGGGTAAAGTTAACCTATCGTTAATAGGATCTTAGATACATAGGTCGCAATAGTGGTTAGTAATATATATTATAAGCATATCTGGATATCTGGGTAAATTATAACGACCTCATTGCGACCTCACTATAATCATAGTAAGGGGAATCATCCCAAAATGGCCGAACTATTCAGGGTAGTGAAATATGATTTCATTTACCCAGGAATCAATCGATAGAATATTTAGAAATTTAGATTCAGATGTTCTTCTATTGCCACAATATATGTTTTTCAACTTGAAGCCACAAGTCGACCCTCGGCAGGTGATGAGATCCAAGGCTTCAAACTGGAGAAGTCGATGCCCATGGCACCGGCACCTCGACCGTGGAGCTGAGGGCAGGGTTGAAGCAACCATCAATTGATGGGGAATATATATATATAATTATATATATAAATAATTATATATATATATATATTCGATATACAAACATAAAGATGTAAAATAACATGGGTATATATTTTTGGATATACAAGAACATCAGATGGGTTAGTGCCTGCCTTAAATTGGGACTTGAGCCAGATTTTACGGTAATTTTACATACCATGAGAACTGATGTTTTCAATAGAAAAAGTGATGTGTTGGATAGAGACGCTTATTTCGATAAAGAACGTTGCGATAAACCATCCCCACTTTGAGACATACGCTCTTGGGGCCGGGAATGGTTCTCCAAGAAAGGACCCTTTGACGGCTGTGTGTGATGGCACTTAGCTGTTTTGTATCTCCAGTACCCGAGATCATTTTCCTGTCCTTGTTCAACAAACTCCTTGATTCGTGCAAGGACATTAGTATCATTGAACATTGAAACAAATTTCACCAGATACCAGAACTTCAAATTCAAAATGGGTGCGAAAATAATCAAATCTTTCAATGGGAAAAAATCTATCAACAGGGTTTTTCCATTGCCAGGTTGAATTGCCAGAGTGAGGGTAACGAAAGAACTGCGGTGATAATGAAACAGCAGTAGATCATCGAGAATAAACACTCCCATACTTTCCTGGTTGGTGGTTTGGAACATTTTTTATTTTTCCATATATTGGGAATAATCATCCCAACTGACTAATATTTTTCAGAGGGGTTGAAACCACCAACCAGTTTCTAATGCAAGACCTTAAAATGGTGGATTGTTCCATTTTCCACGGCATTTTTTGGTTCTTTTCCAGCCCGTTTTCCACCACTCAGATCTGCAGCCCGGCCTTGAGGTTGGTATCACAGGTTTCAAGGAACGCAAAACTGCACACAAGGAAGGCGTGAAGGATTGGTATCGCCTTGATGTGGTTCCTTGGCGATGTTCCAAGCAGCGGTCTCCATGAGATGTTTGATTCATATGGGGATCAATACCTATGAAAATACCATTTTTAGGGGGATGAACATCCATTTACCAGCTATTTTGATGTGAACTACAGGGGTACAAGGTTTTGACCCACTGCCATATATTTTTGTACTCATTGAAGTGTGGAGACCAAATGTTTGCTTGGGGTCTGGACTTGCAAGACATGGCTGCGACGTGCTGGAAATACACTTGTATAACATAATCGCACGCAAAAACATGCCAGCAAAACTCAATGTTCGGCGGGACTGCGACCACCCATTTTTTTGAGGTCCAAACTATGTTGGGTTGGAGCCAAAGCGTCTATGACGAAATAGGAGGAACTGGGAGCCGCCAGTGTTGGTGGCTTTTTCAAATGCTTGCAGTAGCAGTAGCAGACTCATGAACACCTCCTGTTCTGTGTCTCCCTGTGACTAGAAAAGCAACAGAATACTTTGATACAGGAGAGGGTGCAATCAAGCTAAGAAGAGCACATCTCGAAAATGCCACCCCCGCATTGATACTGGTTGATTTACTAGCACCCATAAATAGTGTAAAGAAATACTATTCAAATTGGTAGCCGATGAATAATGTGAACCCGCAGGGTTGTCAACCCCAGACTATTAATTGGGGATGATTTTGGAGTCCAACTTACTATTAATCTTGGTACCTCCTATGAATAAGCCAGTGTTTTAATCCCTCAGTCAACATGTTGCAGGAGATGGTATGACCAAAGAACCCATGCAGGCTGAGGATGTACTGACACTTGTCAGTGTTGGTGTTTCCCAAAGAGTCAGTGACAAAATTCATCCAATTTCTTCAACATCAAGTACCTACTACAGTCTTATGAGTTCTTGGAATGAGAGATCCTGAACCCCCCAAATCCAAAGCATCACGGGTTTGTTTTAGTCAAGAACGTTTTTTGCAGTTGTTTGCCGAGTCTTTCATGGCCGCTTCTGGTCCTGTTATCAACAAAGCTGCCCATCCTCTCCCCCTTCACCTTCACGGAAAAGAGTCGCTTTTTGTAATTGAGGAATCAACAGATCTGCTCGGTGGTTTCAAAGCACAAAATCCTCCATCCATGGCAAGGATGATTGAACCACCGGTGATATGCATCCCTGGTGGTTCACCAACCATCCATGGTGGTTCAACCAGCAGTGATATGTTGATTCGTTTGTGGGTGATGCTCCCAGGAAAGATCTAGATGGTGCAGCTTCTCGGCTGCAGCAGATTTCTTTTCACAACGTGGTTCGTGGAATGGGGAACTTGGCCGTTGTAAAACACAGATTTTTCTGATCGTTTCTGAGAATGAATCATTCCAGTATTGGGTCCTGAGAATATTGTGGGTCATACATTTGTCAATTATTGGGTACCCTTTTGTAAACTAGTGTAACAGTACTATGGAAACATGGTCCTTTGATCTCGGTGATGTAACTGTTAGTTTACTGGAGGGCACTCGAAGTATACTGGGCCAGATGATTTACCTGGCCTACATGTTGGCTCACTTTTCCTGTGTCAGGCAACATAATCACTCTCGCGCTCTTCAGATAGTTGGTGGAAAGACATGCTGTGAGTGTTTTCAATCCGCGCAAAAGGCAGTAGGGGTTGTCCCGATTGCTCGTATTTGTTCCTTTTCACAACGACAACGTGTCCGTGAATCATGGACACGACAAATCTACAAAGACTCCAATCAAAGCAAAGATGCAGCCTTTTCCCAGAAAGTTTATATGCACGTATATGCATATCTCTATGTATACATAATAATAATAATCATAATAATAATAATCATACTAATAATGATAATAATAATAATAATGTACACATATACATATATATATATATATGTCTATATGTGTATCTACATATATCATGGATATATCCCATGAGCAGCAAGTCCTCGCATGAATGTTGAAAATCACTCATTTAACCGTTGAGCGAGGTGAAGACCCTGAATGCTGCGCTGGCAAAGACAAGTTGGGATGACGAGGCTGGCACGGCTGGTTGATGCATGATGGTAGTAAGTACGTAGCTATTGAAAATGGCCATTTATAGTTGATTTACCTATAAAAAATGGTGATGTCCCATAGTTATGTTAGTTTACCAGAGGGTACAGAGTTACCATAGTAAAGCCTCTACTTGGAGGATCATCCCGATCGTGACTGGCGTTTTAAGCATTTGTTCGTTCACCCATATTATGTATATATACATATATATATATGGCAGAATTCACGACTTACCAATCAGGGTTTCGAACTGGGCTGTTGTGACATTGAAGTGGGTTGTAACATGTGATGGACTTCCAAGGCGACCCATTTTGGTCATGTAGATCCGGGAGGGCACGGGGGAAGCCACTGGTTGGATCAGGAAAACCTCACCTTCTATTTCATCAACGGTGACTTGGAGGAGTCTGGTGTTGGGAAGCTGTAGTCCAAGGTGAGAAAGGGTTGGATGAATGGAAGATCCTACAGGGGACCCATGGTTTTTCTTCGTGTGTTCATCTGTGACAATTTCCGCTTGAGCGAATCCAATGAAAGTATATACTGTTGTACCTCGATTTCAGATACCTGAGTTGACACTTGTCCTATGGCTGGGATTGACTTGGACAAGATTCACAAGATATTTTCCAGCAATTTCAGGAACTGTCATAGCTCTCTCCGAGAGCAGGGATCTTCTGGACAGCGGGCAAGCGGGCACAGGTGAATTTTGATGGGTCTTGGATTGTGTCGCATCCAAAATTTGGTGAAACTTTGTGGCTATTGGTTTTGGTTAAGGTCTTCTCAGTGAGGGATTACGCGTGTGACCGACATCCTGCCTCGATTAATGGACTAGCCTGAATGGAAGAGGCCAGAGTTCTGAACTATGTCGAATTGATTTAGTAGAGCCCAAATTGAATTCATACCTAGTAGATGGGCCAGAAGGGTCCTTTTTATGTGTTTCAGGCTCTCGCAGATGTACACTTTCTGATACGTCTTCACATTCTTTGGAATCGCGCAGTTATACCTGACTGGCGGATTGACATACTGTCAATTTTCCGCCCTGAACCCCTCACTACTGGTTGTTCATGATTCTTCGCAGTAACTTCTCTGGCCAGTTGATCAGGCAGCTCAGAATCGACCAAGAATTCATCCCCAATAAGATCCTATAAGTACTTAACTGGAATTAATGATCCCAGAAGTTCTAAACCCATATCTACCACAAGCTGTTCAGGTATATCCAGAGGTACTAAACACTAAATCCCCTGATTCTTCGCTGGACTTGACTTTGGTCCAGGTTGCACTCATCGACTGGTACCAGAAGCTCACATCACCTTCAAAGGCGCCAGGGCTAATGTGGCTGTTGTGGCTGTTGTGGCTGTTGTGGCTGTTGTGGCTGTTGTTGAAGTTGTTGTTGTTGTTGCTGTTGTGGCTGTTGTTGAAGTTGTTGTTGTTGTTGTTGTTGTAGTTGTAGTATAATTGTAGTTGTAGTATAATTGTAGTAGTAGTAGTAGTAGTAGTAGTAGTAGTAGTAGTAGTAGTAGTAGTAGTAGTAGTAGTAGTAAACATCGGCAGCAATAAACACATTGATATGATACGAACTGATATGAAATAATACAATCACAGAGATACAGTCATATAGTCGTCATTTAGGTTCACTTCATCAAGAAGTTGTTGAAAACACCAAGAAAAACGACGAAAAGGGAGCGGTCTCACACTCCAATCCGCTGCTCTCAGCTATCCCCAGCTGTCTCCACTAGATCAGGCTTTCGAAGTACTAGTGCTGTGGGAAAAGGATAAAAAATCCATAGTTGATCCGTTCCAAAAACCCAGTCTTACTCGATTACTAGTATTTGTTCCTTTAATATCCAGTTTTTGGACCGAGTCAACTCTTGGGAAAGGTCTGGTTTTCCAAGATGCCAACAGGGTGTCGTGATATGCAGCAAAGTTCTGGAGCAGTACTGGGGATCACCCAAATTGGATATCACTCAATGAATTACCATCTGGTTATTTAACATAGCCATGGAAAATCACCATATTTAATAGGTAAACCATCTATTTCTATGGGCCATCTATACCATGGCTATGTTAGTCATAACCAGATGGTAGTGGATTTAGTGCCTTGAGATGCGGTGAATCTGTCCCAGGCAAGGTCAGCGATGAGATTAAGAAGTTCGAGGCGCGGGAAAAAGCTGACGACGTCGTCACATTTTTTTGGGGCTCCACCGTTGGCTTCATCCCAAAAATGATCGGACACCCCCGATTCTTTATTGCTTAACCCGGATTTTTCCTTAAAAAGTGACCATTTTTTGGGGCATATACCAGTGCGTGAGTGAAACACGCCAAATGGGTATGGTTCAAAATTATCTGCCCCAAAAACTTGGAAGGGAAATACTGAACATAACCAATTCTGTGGGTCCATTAAGCACCTAATTTTTGAGCCGTCGCCAAATCTAGATGTACATATATGTATGATTGTGTATGCATATCTGTATATACAGTAAGGGTAGATGAACGTCCGAATCGATTCTGTTCCACTCAGCTAAGAAGATCTGCCCTACACAGTGGGTCCAATTTTCGGACCCTCAATCTGGCAATGGGACATCTACAATTTGTGGATGATTTTGCCATTGAAATGCCCATAGTTCAGGGATTTCCCAGGCATGTTTGATGACACCGGAGGGGATTATCGGACCCAGATCCAGAGTCTAGTTGAACTCGGATCAGAGCAACAAGTCCGCCAGCTTCTATAGTCCGCCAGTTAATTACTATAGTTATAAAATGTTATAAATATAATAAACCATATTAATTACCATAGTTATAAACTTTCTAGTTGTGATCCACCCTTCCAACGCTGTCAGTGTAGTGATGATCAAACATGGAATTTACGAACGCGGCTGGATGCATCATAAAATCTCGCCTGGTCTCGAAGACGTTTCTAATTCCAAAATGGATGATGATCTCCACATTGACTATATAATATATATATATATACACGCACATATGTGATATATATATATATAAATAATATATATAAATAATATATATATATATATAAAAAAAATATATATCTATCTATCTATGATTTTTTGGGCATGGGTAGGGATGGGTAGGTAACCACCAGCCATCATCATCCTCTCCTTCGGCTGCCAGGTGCGGGAAGATAATGAGAATCCCAAGATCGAGGACTTGGGACTTGGCTTAGCCTTTTCCGCGGGAGTCGCTTGGCCGTGAAAAGCGATAGTCACTATACCAATCTATTGGTATACCAAATGAAGAAACCGTAGATACCCTCTGGTCATAAAAAACATAGATATGGAAAATGGCCATTTATAGTGGATTTTCCCATTGAAAACGGTGATTTTCCATAGTCACTGTATGTTAGTTTACCAGACGGGTGACAAACTGACCAAGGTTTGACATGTTTGACATGTGAAGGTAGCCGTTGCTGCCTCATGTTGCGTGATTCGCTCTCCACCAGCAAACATCCTTCAGCAATGGTGGTTTGGTTTGAAGTGGACAGCTCCTTACCCTGCAGCTGCTACATGTCCCTGATTGAATGTAGGGATCCAGACTGCTTGTATCATTTTTGGTTGGTTTTTTTCGCATCCACCTCAAAGCCTTGGGTAAGGTGCGCTGCGGATGGGTGCTGTCGGTAGAAGATACGCTCAGCGAGGCGCAGGGGAAGTTTTGTGCTCGGAAAGATCGAATGGAATCTTCTGGTTGGCGGTTTCAAACATATGTATCATATGTTCATCTTCTACCCGGGATGAAATTCATGGATGTGACAGGTCTTTTGCTGTGGCTGTCTCCAAATAGATGGAACATGGATTTACCAATGTGACTGCATTTTCGATTGGAATTTGACTTTTCAATCTACTTTGGGAGTGGATTATGTTCAGAATCCTTCACTACAATTATCGTGTGGTCATTTTGGACAACACACGTGCAGTGTTGCCTGCAGGACAACACCGGAATTCAGCCGAAGATTTCCAAGGACCGACCTGGGACCTGTGGGCAGGGAAGAAGTCAGCACCAGTGGGCAATCCTAATCACATTTCATGACCGTAAGATCCGCAAGTTCCTGTTGCTGCTGGCCATGTTCGAACCGAAGCATCAAGGAACTACAGCCCGAATTAGCCTCCCCCAAATCAACACAGACCCTGCCGAATGGGGAGTTGGAAGAGTAGTTTCCATTCAACCCGGGCTAATTTAATCTATTTTATGGGTCTTTATATGTGAATTTACCGGAGGCTACGTCTAATTATCATTAATTAAACATAACTGATTGGTGGTTTCAAACATTTTTTACTTTCCATTTCATACATGGGATGTCATCCTTCGACGAACTCCATCATTTTTCAAGATGGTTGAAACCACCAAGCAGATCATTAAACTTTAAAAACATCCAGTTGCCATCATTACCATCCCATCCCCAGGAGGAGTTGGTGGCGAATCCCGAAAAGCTGTTGGAGATGGAAAACGTCACCTTGGTCTTGGAATGTGAAGATGCTCTGCTGAAAGCGCAGAAAGCGCAATGGAAAACAACATGGAAAAACGCAAAAAAAAGGGGTGGTGAAAGGAAGCAAGCTTGGAAAGAACATATAAGAAAAGAATAGAAAAGAGCTGAATTCTAGCATAGCAATTGCTTGACCCAAGCTAATTTGGATGTAATTACTGTAGGTTCTGACCGAAGATCCGGCGGTGAAAAACCACCTAAAAGAAGACTATTATGGGGATATATATATATAACCGAGAATATGAGATTGTTATTACATCAAGAACTTCACATCACCCATCTTGTCGGACTTTACATAACACAACTCGTCTTGTTGCTTAATCCCCATCATCATTTTTCATCAGCTTATCTAACTTCTTTCACAATCTACCCCTATGGTGTTTCCATCACAACATGAAAAATCCCTTTGCCGCGCAGAAATATCATCCTCTGAGGAACCTGAGCAGAGCTGCGACGTGGAGATGTACTCAGAGAATTTCTACAACTGCGACATTGAAAGCAACTTTTGCACAGCACCTTGTTACATCCAAAACAAAACCTGCACGACCTGGCTGGTGGTAGATATTGGCAGATGGGTCGTTAGTAATGCCAGGCTGGTGTCAAGGTGTCCGAAAAAAGGATCTGGAATGATCTTCGACGCACCGTCCGAGAATCAATTGCTGAGTTTCAGTACTGGTTGCGGTAGTTTTACCAATTTTCCTGATATTTTGTGCATGTCGCCTCCATAAAATGCCCAAAAACATCAGCTGTGATAGGAATGCCATCGTTGGGATCATCTGATATCTCTGGCTTCACCATCGAAAAACTTTCACCCATCTCACCCTGGGTAAACTGGCATTTTTTGACGATTTTGATGGTTTTGACATGTTTTGACTATCATACTTACTTGGCTATTTGTGTGTTTTTTTTTGTGTGTGTAGTACGTGCAGTATCTAAGATTAGGCATGCATCATTCATTTGCCATGCTTATCATACACCCAATACCATGCATCCATGTTGTCATGTATTCCTCCACAGATTCACGGATGGCTGTCTTTTTTTGGTGGCAAATACGAGGTACAGCCGAACTTCCTCCTCCCCCTCCTTTGCGTTTGCTTTATCATCAATAGTCAGACCATGAAATTCATAGATTACATAAACTTATCAATGAACGTAAATCATGGTTACGTCATGTTGACTGTTATACATCATATTTTCGAAATCCACAATCTGTTGAAAACACTTACCCTCTGGTAAATTAACATAGACCCTGGCAGATAGGGGTTGGAAGTTGGAAGATTAGTTTCCATTAAAACTAGGCTATTTTCAGGGTCTATGTTAATTTACCAGAGGGTACATGTCCAGTCCGCGTGAACAAATCTGGCTTCACCACGCATCGTGCGCCACAAAGTCCTAGGTCCAGTTCGAGACGGATGGGGATGGCTGTAGCCACCTGGCAGTACAGAGAGGGAATGGCAATGGTAGCCAGTGGTACCTCGTCAAACTTTGATCCCAAATTTGAATGATTAGTAGATGTCAGTACTTAGTACATGTTAGAGATTTTAGTAATGACTTCTTGGATTTCCAACTTTTCGATTTTCGATGTAGATACATTGTCGATGAAGAATCTCAAGTTGCAGATCCCGTGACCAGAGCGGTTAGTCTGTCCCTTGTTCGCACGCCATGTGGGGTGTTCCCACCACCTATTGAGAGGTTACCCGGAACGGCGCTGGGGCGTGCTATGTCTGGTGGTGCCGAAGGATTTTGAACCCAAGGAGGGCGAACTAAAGTGGCTGGGCAGCAAGGTGGAGAGTTTTTTTTCCCTCTGCGGGTGTGTCTAAACATGGAAACATATCTACGAAGTGATGCCGTTTCATGGCCCAAACATGATGAAGAATCATGGCGATTCGTAGATATTTTCAGATTTTCTCAGACAAACTTGAAAAAATATGAGCGGATCTCAGAAAAACTTGGAACATGTAGAGTGGATCGGGATGCTATGGCAATGATGTTGGCTGAGTTGAAACACCCTGGAAAACAAGGCCAGATTTGGGGTCTCGAAGTTGAACTATCGCTAGTGATGACATGTTTGTTCAGGTGTGATCCGAACTATGAGGTTTTAACACATGAATTTGGGGGTCTCTCATTGCTGACCATCAATCAATTCGCTACCTTTCACATCCCTTCACATGCGTCCACGGCTAGGTGGAAATGGCTGACGAGTTGCTTGGATGATATTCGGTGGTGCTTCTCAACTCAGATAACACAGTGATGGCTGGAGAGACAAGGGTCTAATTCACACATGTTCATACGTATTCATACATGTTCATGGTTCAGTCTGAGATTGGGAATTGCATTTGGCTTTTCTAGGTGACGACGTGGGCGAAGATGTGAAAGATCTACCCATCCTGAAGGATGCTGCAAAATCCGGGACATGTCCACTGGGGCAAGCATGGGAAATGTGGACTCAACGTGTTTTTCTATCCTGTATTGTTTGTGAACCTCAGCCAGGAGATGTGAATGGCAATCATAGCACTCCCGCCAAAACGATCACACCATGACCCATTTCGTGGTACCCGAAATGTCATCGCTTCGCTTTCACCGCAAGGAAGCCAGCACTTCAGCAGTTGCTTGGCTGGGTGGAGTCGTGGAGACTGCATGGCGTTCCAACTGTCAACAGCGGCAGTACACCTGCCACAAGGAGCTAGAAAAGAACAGAAAAGAACTGAAGACAACGACGACAAAGACCATGACAACAAAGTAACAACAACGCTACAATGTGGGGCCCCCTAGTTATAAGTTGGTTTATAAGCCCAAGAAACTATAGTTACAAGTACCATAAACCATAGTTATTGGAGTTATGTTCACCAACTTAGCTATCGTTTGGGGGCCCCACTTTGTAGCAACGGCAACCTAACACGACCCCAACGTCAGCATCCGAGCACACATCTGAGGCGAAGGTTGGAACACTTTCACCATCAGATGATCACATCAAAATCATCAAGGAGGTGGAGACACCGTGATGGCTTTTGGGGCATTGCTATAAAAACGTGCAGGCGACCCCTCCTAGACCAAGTGCTGAAGAGCATCTATGTCTTAAAAATATCTTGGGATCCCAATTTAGATACCTGGAGAGTATTCTCTACCACTACGACCTACTACGAAGACCCGCCGGTTTTCGGGGGCAAACAATCGCGTCAAATGATGCGCCCCCACATCGAACGTTCGAAATGACTCAAACTGTTTGGAACGGGTGGGATCGGATTCTTTTGAAGTCCGTCTTGAAAATTGTTGTTTTCAACCAAGCAAATCATGCCATTTCAGACTTTCAAACAGAAAATTGTTCATGTCAACTGCTCTCATTTTCAGTGGACTTCCTATTTTGTGAATTTTTCGACTTCCTATTTTGGTTGCCCCATGGGACCCAAAAATGGGACCCCAAAATGGGACCCAGTTTTTGGTGTTAAACACAGCCAGGTGGAGGTGGAAGATTCCACCTTTCTGCAGCTGGCTGATGGGCAATGGATACCGATCTTTCAGGCGGCTGGTGGGAGATTTTCGCGCGTTGGATGTGTAAAAGTTGAAGCCAGTTGAATTCAGTGCGATAAATTTCGGAGTAGATAAGTCCCAGGCAACACTATTTATAGATATTAATATAATATTAATATTAATATTATGTAGTGTTATGCATTATGTAGATGTACATATGGGTATGGGTCAATACCTATTAATACCATTTTTAGGGGAATGAACATCCATTTACCAGCTATTTTGATGTTCACCAGGGGTACAAGGTTTTGACACACTGCCATATATCTGCAGGGTAAGATTAGCTATGCGTATGACTCGGTGACTTTATGTTGTCGCCGATGACCCAAAAGGACTCCAATTTTGGCCAGTAGCTCCAGGCTGGTGTGCTACGGCTGGTTGGCTTAAAGTGCTGACACTACATTATACATTAATGTATATATATATATATGGCTGCGAGTCAAAATGTAAAGCCCCGATCCATACCCTGAACCCACAGGCCGATCCATACCCCCGATCCATACCAAAACGCAGGTGATCCAGACCGTTCCATACGTCTGGATCACCGCGGGCCGATCCATACCCGAATTTTGACGCAACCCCATATATATATGATTATTCTTATATATATACACATGTATACTTATATATATATATTACCACATATATATATATATAAATGCATATATGCATGTATGTATGTACATATATATATGCATTAAAGACATCATATTTTAACTTGTTTTTGTCTGGGATGACGATTCCCCATTAGAGTTATTGAAGCAGTCTGTGTCGCTTGGCTTCCATGGGTTCCTTCCACTTGCCTCAGGAAGATGAGGATGGCAACAAGACGTGTCTGGGTCAAAAAACGTTCATTTCATTCCATTTAATTTAGGCCTTTTATTTTCACTAGGTATCGGATTTTGGACTTGCGGTTGATGTTCCACTGTACAATGGCCGTTTCCCAGTGATTTTTCCAATGCGTTTCCGAAGACATTCCAGCCTTCATGATGGTGAGACAACGGTGAAATCAGGCTGCGGCCAAGCCACTTTGAGATCCATCCCCCATAAGAGGCATCTGTCACTCCCGCCCTATGATCCCTATGTTGTGGTTGGTAGAGGGCGGATAAGATCCTCATCCCGTAGCAATCCAAGGTTTAACCGTTTAACCTGTGCTCAACCAGGGCTATCCGTCTATGGTGTCCAATGTTTCACAAGTTTGGTGAACATTACCTGTGGCAAACTGTCGGGACATCCAAGCAAGGATGCGGAAGGGCTTCCAGTGGAGATTTTTGCAGAACGTCGGGTCTATAAGATCTCTACCCTTTATGATTCTGTCCAAGAGTTTGCACTCCTGCGCAGAGTCATAAAAGGAGAAAACTCAGAACTGCGCCAGCCAGAGACACTACCAGATGGAGCTGTAGAGTGCAGCGAGAGATTAATTTCTTGCTGGCAAGGATTGGCTGAGTGCTCGCTGATTGAACGAAAACTTTGCCAGTCAAAGATTGCTTCGTCATGAACATTGTGAAGACTCTATCTATGGTTGGAAACGGCTTGGACAACCTGGAACAAAAGCTTCAATCCATCCCAAAATGTTGTGGACCCAACGAGGTAATTCCTTGTGTTTTAGCCCGCTACCAACAGTCAGCAGCATTGATCAATAGGTTGCGAAATTTTTCCGACATTGGAATATTGAACGAACATCTCTTGATCTTGATGGTGACTAGGTGGGATTGGGGATAACCCTGGTATTTTCATGGGCTGTGATGGTTTATCATCATTTTCCCCATTGGTTTTGCATCAAAAAAGCGGTCAAATTCAGATGGCTAGTTCAATATTCTTATTTTTCTTCATGGGGGTGTCCAATAATTATATATATATTACATACCAACATACAAATCCTTTGCAGGGCACTGTCTCTAAGGTTAGATTAGATCCTGGGTGGGGATTCTCCTCAACATATTAAATTGATGTATCGGGTTTTATCATGGTCCCATGTTTTCCACCAAAAAACAATGGTTTATTATTTATCGTTCATAGTGTTGTACTCGTATCATCATGCTCCCAGAATTTTTCGCCACAATCCAATGTTCTTTTTCATCATTTTCAACCGAGTTTCTCAGGGTTTATCATCATTTTCAACCGGGTTTCTCAGGGTTTATCATCATTTTCAACCGGGTTTCTCAGGGTTTATCATGGTTTTCAACCGGGTTTCAACCGGGTTTATCATGGTTTTCAACCGGGTTTCTCAGGGTTTATCATCATTTTCAACCGGGTTTCAACCGGGTTTATCATCATTTTCAACCGGGTTTCTCAGGGTTTATCATCATTTTCAACCGGGTTTCTCAGGGTTTATCAGGGTTTATCATGGTTTTCCCCATTTTTCACATATCTAAATGATCTAAGCAGTGGCCATTTCTTCTTATTTTTCCTTGTCATTGGATCCCCGAGGAGCGTCTTGGCGAAGGTGGAGCCTTGGGACGAAGTCATGGCAGGGGCCTCCGAGATCTTGAACCATGCGGAAGGCGCGCTGGGCTCGGCGGGCTCACGCTGGGCTCAGGTCATGTGAGATGTGGAGATGTGCGGTTGGTGGCCCCGTAACCGTTGTGATGTTAATTAGTTGGTTTATATATGGCAGTGTGTCAAAAGCCTGGTACCCCTGTAGTTCACATCAAAATAGCTGGGATTTATGGATGTTCATCCCACTAAAAATGGTATTAATAGGTATTGATCCATAGCCATATAAGCCCCAGTAACTATAGTATACTATAGTTATTTGCGTACCATAAAGCATAGTGAAATTGGAGTTATGTGAACCCCAACTTAGCTATCGTAAACGGGGGCCTCACATTGTGGTATTTCTCCGAGTTTTTGAGTGCTTTTGATCTTTTTTGGAATCGATTCTTGGAGACCTGTTAGGTGTTTTTTGAGAAAACACATGGATGTTGATTGGAGCGTAGTCTTGCACTGATGTCGTATTGTGCCCCTTTGGTCGTATTTGTTCCCTTCTAGCCTGACTCTGGCAATGATGGACCACCTCCCAGCCACGGGTGATCTCGAGAAGCACCCCAATATACCCCGATTTTTCTGGTTCCTATAGGACTTTGTCCAGGAGTTGGGAGTACCACGAAATGCAATTTTTGGGGACCAGTCTGATAAACCATCCAATTTGCGGGCACCCCTGCAGGCAAACCCATACCAAGCTTTAAAACCAGGGTATTTTTCTTCGTTCAGAAGGCAGGGTCCCAAAAGGAGTCCAATTGCGACTATAAGCATGCAACCAACAGAAGGGTTCTGCATTGTTTGTAGATGATCATCAGATGATATTGCTATACACATGTTCACTCTTATTTCATGGCTTCATGTATTTCATAGACTTCGTATTTCTAGGTCGTTGAATCATCTCAGTTTTAGGTTCCTACATGTTTAATCATTAAAAAAAATAACTTTAACCCACATTTCTGTCATTCAAGTCAACACCAATCCACTTTGACCGAAGCTTTTAGCAGCTTCTGCAACACCGGTCCCTCGTTGTAGGTGTTGCCGATGCGAATCCCTTGGTGAGCCGAGAAGGGTGGGACGAGGAACGATTGAGGCACCGGGAACCGCGGCATTTTTTGATCACAGGCATGGGCCTCTGAAATCTGACAAACGCCGCTCAATTGGTAGATGATTTACCCTCTGGTAAACATACAAAAAGCTATTGAAAATGGCCATTTATAGTGGATTTACCCATTAATGGTTATTTTCCATAGTTATGTAACAGTTTGGTAGATGATTTAAGCTATTAGATTACCATAGGGTAGTGGAACTGCAGCTGGGGTGTGGCAGTTTTTTTTTGCTGCCAGGGCTCTGTGTATGCGACACGGCTGGGAATTTGAGTGGATGAGTGAGGAGCACATGGACATGGGAATGGTGGGGAATGATTACTTGGGAAATTGGACCTGGAAGTTATTATTTTGGGGACATACCAGTATGATTCCACTACGACAGGCATAAATTCACATGGGTTTGTCTGAAAATAGGGTACCCCAAACTCCATTCATTATCATCACATTCCGTATTCAAGTGGCCATTTATGGGTATCCAGTATCCCCCATTTTTAGACCCAGATACACTTCGTTATTGATTCATTGTGTGATCCCTACTGGTTGCATATCGTAGAAAGGACTTTTCTGGGGAAATCCAAATCAGAGCATCCGGGGAAGGCAATGACCGGAGCCAGCAATTTCAAGACATCTTGGACACCACTTTGGTGTCCAGCCACTCATTGGTTTCGTATACTGCGTGTATCAGAAACTCTCCCAAATGTTGATAGACCAGCACGTATCATCCGATAGTGCGTGTCGTTTTTTGTTGTGTGTATGTTGGTTGTGATAGCACTGTTTCTGGGTTGGTTGTACACCCATATGTTGTTGGCTGAACCACTTGTATCTCCATATCCATTTTGGATATTTCCAATGTTTGCTGATACATTTATCTGGAATCTGGAACCACGTGTCCTTCGAACTGAAGGTGGTAACAGTGTTCCAGGAACGTCAATGTACATAGACACATACATCTATACATATACATACAGCCTTGATGGTTCTCCCTTCATACACAATGTATATAACCATGTATATATATAACCATATATGTATAAGCATATATATATAAATACATATACATACACAACTATATTATTCTGTATCACTGATATCTCTCTCTCTCTATATATAAATAACTGTGTGTATACTATATATATATACATACACATAGACAATGAATAGCTTGAATCTTTGTCGGTGAGACTATCTCCCATTAACATGTTCAAAAACGCAGGACGGTGAGCGTCGAAGACGCGGTGCTGAGCGGCAGGGCTTGGTCGGGTCCCTAAAACCACCATGTTTATGGGTGGTACTGGTAGTTGTTTGGCATTGGGTTGCCCACATAAAACAAGATGCAGCCCACGAACCCGAATGCTCACACGTATGTTAATGGTACAGATGTCAAAACACATGGTTATGCAGTGACGCACAATACCTTTCTGCAATAGTTTATTTGAACAGTCTTGTACATGTTTCCCTTGTTACCAGTCTGCAGTGTGGAGTCGAAAGTGTAGAGTGTGGAGTGTGGAGTGTGAAGTAAGGAGTGTGAAGTAAGGAGTGTGGAGTGTAAAGTGTGGAGTGGGGAGTGTAGAGTGTGTAAAGTGTAGAATGCGGAGTGTAAAGTGTAGAGTGTGGAGTATGGAGTGTAAAGTGTAGAGTGTGGAGTGTAGAGTGTGGAGTGTGGAGTGTAGAGTGTGGAGTGTAAAGTGTGGAGTGTGGAGCGTAAAGTGTAGAGTGTGGAGTCTGGAGTGGAAAGTGTAGAGTGTGGTGTGTAGAGTGTGGAGTGTGGAGTGTAAAGTGAGGAGTG